AAAAAAAAAAAAAAAAAAAAAAAAAAAAAAAAAAAAAAAAAAAAAAAAAAAAAAAAAAAAAAAAAAAAAAAAAAAAAAAAAAAAAAAAAAGCAAAAAGCAAACTGAAAAATAAAAAAAAATAAATGAAAGAGGGGAAAATTAGCCAGCAAAGAGAAACAGACAAGGCGAAGCTAGAAGAAGAGGTGGAGTGTGAGAGCCTCGGGGGGTTCTGGTCCATTCCAGCCGGAGGTTCCACGCCCGCCACTGACGTTGCTCAAAGGGGAAAAAAAGAAAATAAGAAAATAAAGAAAACCTGAAGAAAAAAAGAAAAATTCGAAAAAAGAAAAATCAAAGGGCTGCGGCGGCTGTTCCATCATCATCATCCTCATCATCGTTACTCAAGGGTGGGATGGTCCGAGTTCTGGCGCTAGACTCTTAAACGATGAGAAAAGATGCTACCACTACACCATCTATCTACGTAGTTCGGAGGAACTTGCAGGGGCCAGAGAGGAGGGGGAAGAGGAATAAGGGAGGGACGGGGAGGACGGAGACGGGGAGGAACGGAGAAGACAGCGGAAGTACCTACACTACTACTATAACCACGGAGTTATAGTAAAATAGCACTAAATATATTTACTAGGGCTGGTATCAAGGGAATAGAAACCAAGGAAATGCAGGCCCGGGAGCCGCACCCAATTAAGTGCCGCAAGCCCCGATTTGCGGTTGGCGCTCGTGCTGACTCTCGCCCGTTAACTACTGGGGAGGGGAGGGGAGGGAATGGATCTAGCGCAGATACGAGGCTCCATCCAGCGTCATCATCATCGATATGGGAATGCTGTTGTTGTTGTTGCTGCAGCACCACGGCTCTAGGTAAGCCGTGCTGCGTATTTAGCTTCCTTTGCTAACTAGTTTAGCTGACTAGCTAGAGGGCTAGTTAGTTAGCACACCACTTTCATAAACCTGACCTGACCTGACTTCAACCACCGCCCCTCACCCACCCACCCCCCTGCTAGTTTAGTGCGATGCTCACAGCGGCCGACGCCGGGCTTACTGGCGCTTGGACTCGTTCGGCTTTTGTACGCCTCCCGTGAATGAGGCTAGTGTGATTTTTCTTTTCTTCTTGCATGCATAGGGTCACCTTGCGGCGATTTGGGTAGTACGATGTTGGGGGCTGAAGTGGGAGTAGAGGCGGAAGAGTAGGTGAAGGATGAGGCGAGCCCATTCTACTTAGTATTCGGGATTTGATTGTTAACTTTGCTTTCGAAATGCTTACTTCTTCCGTTCAGAATCTCCGACTGGCAAGGCTATTTATCATTCATGGTTGTGTGTCTGTGTGCCGGCTTACCGTCCATACATACCTACAAGGGTGGTCATGCCACGGGACAGGGAAAAAGACAACTAAACCATGATATCGACTCCACACCAGGGTACTAGACCTTGTGAAGCAATGTAAAATCTATGGGAGAATTTAATTTATGTCTGTCCGGCTTGACGAAAAGAAAACTAGTTACAGCCTGGCCTTTTGACCCAGCTGGGCTCGCACTCTCTTCACACGTTCCCAAGCCTCGAGCGCAAAAGGCTCCGTATTTCTAGCATATTCCGCAGCGCGGGCACTACTGGCCTGCCTCAGGGCATACCGGGCCTTGATACCATGCATAATCACAGAGCTTCTCCAGGAGAAGAAAGCATCACCCCATGGGATATCCCCAGTGGGGTCATACCCCGACACCTCACGATACCAACGGATACAGTCCTCTCGAGCGGGCAAGCCAGGCACTACCTTCGGGACGAACATTTCCTTCTTGTGGTCCACCCCGTCCAGGAAAAAGGGACTAGTGAGGTTGCAGAAGTCGGACAGAGGGTGCCCCACTGTGGCCATTTCCCAATCCAAGAGGCCGATGACTCGCGGCTCGGATTTGTGGAATATCATATTATCGATCTTATAGTCACCGTGCACGAGCGTGCCGCGGTCTTGCGGCTGCGTCGTCTTGTCGTCAAAGAAACGCACCATGTCCATGAAATGAGGCAACTCTCCGACAGGTTCCTTGGTCTCCACATCCACGGCTTGTGCCTGCGCCTGTGCAACTGCTGTGAAGGTGGCGATCTGTCGATCATAGTACCCCGTCGGTTTTCCGAACCTATCCAACCCGACCTTTTGGGGGACTACCCGGTGGAACTTGGCTAATGTCCGGACCGCATCCTGCCATCTGTTGGTAGGGGGGGCGTGTGTGTGGTTAGCTCCAATTTTTCCCGCTTTTCATGTAACAGTAGCCGCGCCAGGCGGGTTGTATCATCCCGAAGAGGCAGGGGGAGGGGGGCAAGGGATGACGTACAATGCTGTTCTCTCTGCCGGGTCGACCCCGGGCATGGCAGGATCAGTAAAGTGTCGTCCATCTAGGAATTCCATGATGTAGAAGGGGGTTCCGATTACGCTACTATCCTCGCAGAGACAGTAGGCTTTGGGGACGGGCACGTCGGTGTTTCCTAGGGCATGGATGATCTTGTACTCGCGCTCGACTTTGTGCGCAGTCTTGGAGAGTAGCTTGCCCGGGGGTTTCTTGCGGAGGACATATTTGCTACCGTCGGCGGTGGTGAGTTGATACGTAGGATTGGATTGACCAAAGCCAAACTATAGACTGTGAGTTGTGTGGCCAGGACAGTAATTCGGAAGGGTCATTGTATACCTGCTTCACATCCAAGGGGGTCTTGATATCGGGTACATTGAGATTGAGATAGCGTTCCAGGGAGGGAACATCAATAGGTTGGCGCACTGCTCCAGCCATATCCAAGACAATATGAGATTCAGCAGTATACAGCGAGGCTATGCACCACCACCAACTTCTATAAGACGTAGCAAAAGCGGAGAACAAGTCACGCTGGGGATGGAATAAACCCGGGGATAGCTCCGATCTCAAGCCAGCCAGCCAGCCACGGCCCGCGGCTCACCTGAAAGGCTGCGGGGAGCCTCGGCTATCCTGGATTCCTTACCCATTTAGATCTAGTGCCATACTCACTGTTACTCAGTATCAGAATCAAACAACCCAAACCCGCCAAGCCCATTAAAACGCGCCTCGCGTCACTCTCACCGCCAGACGCGTTCCCCCAAATCGATTGCCAGCAATCAAACCAAAAAAATAAAAGAACCCACCATGAAGGGCCTCGCCCTCGCCCTCGCATCTCGTCGATTTACACAACACACCGCATTTCCAACACTCCATTTTCCTCTTCAATATTTCTTCAGCCGAAGAAGAACCCACTCTCCTTTCTCTCCACTACACACCACCCAGATAATGACCAAGGAGACCACCCCTCCTCCTCCCACCACCACCACCACCACCACCACCACCGAACCTACTACAAACACAACTCACGAGCCCCCCTCCCTCCCCGCCTCTCCCCTCGCCAAGCGCACCAAACCCAACACCACCGAGCAATCAACAGAATCATCAACAATGGGTTCAACCAGCACCCCTCTTCCCCCCCTCCAAGTGAAGAAGCTCACTCCTACCGGCCGCGCCCCGACCCGCGGCTCTGCCTTCGCGGCCGGATACGACATGTACAGCGCCAAGGAGACCGTTATCCCTGCTAAGGGGAAGGCGTTGGTTGATACGGGAATTGCGATTGCTGTGCCGGAGGGGACGTGTATGTTTCCATTACATCTACCCTAATATCAGGAATGAATAGCTGATTATGATATTGTGGTGGCATAGACGGCAGAATCGCCCCCCGCTCCGGCCTCGCCTCGAAGCACTTCATTGATACTGGCGCGGGCGTCATCGATGCAGACTACCGGGGAGAGGTCAAGGTTCTTTTGTTTAATCACTCGGATGTGGATTTCGAGGTGAAGGAGGGAGATCGCGTTGCGCAGCTGGTTTTGGAGAGGGTATGTCATTTTACCCCCCTTCTTCTTTTATTATTTCAATGGTTGTGGTGGAGGTCAAGTGCTAATTGTGAGGTCTAGATCTATACCCCTGAGGTTGTGGTTGTGGAGGAATTGGCGGAGAGTGTTCGTGGCGCTGGTGGGTTTGGAAGTACTGGTGTTTAATTGGGATTTCTTTCGACAAGGTTTATGTTATAGATATGGCGTGTATGGTTTGAATGATATCCGTACAATTGGAATACAATACAATACAATTCCACGAGTGAGATGAGAAGATTAGCATTCATATAGTATTCTGAACATTGAATTGGTTTGTCCGTCACTGCATTTCATCATGACTGGTGGTATATATTGAATACCCGTCTATAACTAATCTATAATGCTCAAACAATTCGCCTCCCATCGTTAAGAATCAACGAAACTGCGCCGGCAGATCCTCCCGCCGCCACTCGCTCGCCTGAAACTCCACCTCCGGTTCCCGCAGATACTGCGCATGCCGTACCACCCGTACCTCTGCCGCCTTGCTCTCCCGCAGATGCGCCCTCTTCTGCTGGTCCTCCTGGCTGAGCAGCTTCTCGCCCTCATCCGCAACAATGGCGCGCAACTCGGCATCTCTCGCCTCTAGCGTCTTCTCCAGCACGCAGTGCATACTCGCCAGCACCTTCCGGGTAGACTGAGCAAGGGGCAACTCCGTTGCAGGGACATTGTCGGGCGAAACCCATGATTTGGTGTTGCGGAGGGTGGGATCGGCATTGTACACAGCCTCGCGGAACCGGGCTACCGTGAGTGCGGCGAACATGTCGCCAGTGCCGCTGAAGTAGCAGTCCAGGGCGGGGACGTCGATGCGGAAGAGACGCGGGGCACCATCGGAGCGGGTGGTCGAGCCGATGACGGTGAGGGTGTTGGGGAGCGGAGAGTCGGAGAGGCTGGCGATTTGCACGGAGGTGATGATCACGTGGGGGATGTTGTATATGGCGTGGAGAGCGGTAATGGCTTCAGCGAGGGTGGCAAGGGAGGTAATTTTGATGCCGGAGAGGACTCTGCCCTGGTTAGAAGGAGAAGCAGGAGTAAGGAAAGAGGGATGGCTTACTCGGCTTCGAATTGGTTGGGGAGGATGAGGTCTGCGTGGCGGATGACCTTCTTGTATGCGGGGACGACGTCGTCGTTAACGTAGAGACGGCCTTGGTCGCCCATTACGGGGTCCAGAACTGCGCATGGTTATTAATGCCATAACATAGAACACACACAGAGAGGGGGCAGCTCACCCCAAAAGAAGGAACCGGGATTCTTTTCCGCTTTGCGCTGGAGGTCCATGCCAATGGCCCCGACGGCCTCGACGGCAGCTGCACTGGGCGCATAGCCAGAGAGCATGACATCAAAGTCAAGTAAATTGCTCTGCGTGAGACCCTCATAGAGCGCGGTGATCTCCTCTGCTGTGGCCCTAGTGCCCTTGAATTGTCTATAACCAGTGTGGTTACCTGGAGTTTGTCAGTAGGGCGGTTTACGCAGAGGATATATGCCTGCTTACTGAAGTGAACGGTGTTCAGGGCGGCGACATCACAGCCCATGAGCTGCATGACCGCACTGGCCATCTTATTGCCCACATATCTGATCCGTCAGTATATGCAAGCATGCGATGTGATGAGACATCATGAGAGATAGAGGTGTTATCAGATATGACACATACCCGTAGACAACCTAGACCCTTGTCAGCAATGCATGGGATACGCCAATGGTGGTTGGGGAGAAACATACATGGCTGGCGACAGCCAAGACCCTGGTCTCAGGCACGAGAAGATCGGCGGACATGATGAAATGAAGGGGAGCTGGTGGAGGAGAAGAAGAGGAGCAGGCGGGCAAGGAAGGGAACTCGATGTCATTCCTTCCTTTGGGTCGGCGATAGGCGAGGTGGACCTCCTGGTTTTGCCGCGCTGCTGATTGGCCCACAGGGCCGGTGTGCAGCCCGTGCTCAGTCGGGAGTTTTTTTTTATCTTATTAAGGGATTCCATCCGGCAGTTCAACTTAGTAGATAACGTTACTTACTGGTTATTTGGACAATCGGTGCTGGAGAAATAAGAATATCTTGGTCCCTCCGAGTCAGTCGTGACGCTAATCCTGGTGGCGCCAGTTTCAGACGAGAACACAACAGGCAGAATAACCGAACTGCTCAGCTGTCTTGTGAAAAGTTCTCTGCTTTGTACTAGGAGCAAGGAGTCCAATCAGTTGCCCTGCTAAGAATAAACCCCGGGAGTCCAGACTCTTTGCCCGTCGGTCTAGTCTCGACTGTTCCATCCAGCCTATACCACTTATGCCCGTTTTTCTTTGGCGCACGGCTCACTCCGTCAGGCACGCCCCTGACCCTGCTCGTGTGTGTGTCTTGTCCACTATGTGCCATGGCTTTAATCCCGTTGTGTGATTGATCCCGTTGTAGTACCGTAGCCTCATGGGTTAGATTAAAGCTGGTTCCCTCCCCCATCCATAGGTGCCCTAATCCATCCATCCATCCGTCCATCCCCCTTGCCCTGCCACCGAGCAGTCATTTCAGGATCATGTAATTTGTTCACATCCACACTCCTTTTGATTTCTTTGCCTTCTATATACTACACACACTCTCTTTAGACTGAACTCTGATTACTCAGAGCCATTCAATCATCACCACCATGGTGTCCATCTACACACCCCGTGCTCGTTCAGCACGACAACATTCACAACAACAACTATCCATCCTTCTCTGCACCCTACTTGCCCTCCCATCCGTGCTAGGATCCGTGCTGCCATCCACCGCAGAAATAAGCAGTGGGGAGATCGTCAATGCGGATCTCTCCGCAGCACATACTACCACCACCACCAACACAGATCAACCACTATCACTATCACTATCACCAGATATCTTCACCACCACAACCACCACCACCAACGCCAACGACGACACCAACAACCTCACCCTGCACCCCCGCAGCACCACCACCAACACCACATCCATATCCACCGACACGACCGACACATCATCATCCACATTCCCCACCGCCTTCGACACCTCCCTAACCAACAACTTCACCACCACCACCTGCGCCACCTTCTTCCACAACCTCCTATCCAACACCACCCTGACCTCCTGCCACGCCATCTCGCTCCTCCTCCGCGACTCGACCTCCTTCTTCCACGCCCTCACCTCCGCCCCCACCACCTCCTCCATCCTCGACACCGCCTGCGCCTCGAACCTCACCACCTGCAGCACCGCTCTCACCTCCCTCGCCTCCCAACTCCTCCAATCATCCACCTGCCTGCACGACTACAACGCCGGAAACCAAGCCGTCGTATCCGCCTACACTGATCTCATTACCTACGCGCCCATCTACCGCGCCACGTGCCTGCAGTCTCCAGAGACGAACAACTATTGCTTTGTGGATGCGGTAACGAATACCAGTAATTCTGTGGACTATGATGTGTATTTCGTGCCGTATGGGAGTGCCATTGATGCGGCGCCGTGGCCCACGTGTAATGAGTGTTTGCAGGCGACGTTGAATGTGTATAAGGAGTATGCGAGTGTGGATGGGCAGCCGTTGGCGGGGAGTTATTTGCCGACGGCGAGGGGGGTGAATGGGGTGTGTGGGAGTGGGTTTGCGGATGTTAATGTTACGGTGGGGGTGGTGAAGGATGGGGTTAGTAGTGGTGGTGCTGGGGGGAGATTTGGGGGAGGCAGTTGGGGGGTGATGGTGGTGGTGGTTGTGGGATGGAGTGTTGGGTGGGTGATTGGGGTGGTTTAGGTGAGGGTATGATATTATATGATGTGATATGGTTATGGTTTTACTTGGGGGGAAAGGGATTATCTAATGTCTATATTTAAACTCTAATATCTACATTCATTGATCTTTGTTTCATAGTATGTGGAAAATAATGTCTTATTCAAAACCAGGTATATCCAGCCCGTAGGCAAATAAAAGTATCAAACAGTGCAGAAGAATATCACAATGTGGTTGCCACTATATCATGTCGTTACAAATAGTCATGATACGAATAATTCGGGGGGTGGGGGTGAAGAAGGATATTGAGGAGGAGCTAACTCCGTCGGAAACTGTCGCCCAGCGCTACCCCTACCAGGCTTTGGGGCCCGAAGCTCTCATTCCCCAAGCCTGACGCTGGGCTCTGTGTCGATGCGTCTCTTTCCCGCTTAATCCGGAAGAAGGCCAGCTTGGTGAACCGGTTGAGCTGCGCCCAAAAATGTCGTCCCGCCGGATGCGCCGCAATGCGCTCTAGGAGATCGACCGCCGCCTCGCGCACCGGCTGGTGCGGATGGAACAATCCCATGCCGAGGTAGAAGAGTCCCGCCTGGTTCTCCGGAGTCACAGTCAAGAGTTGGCAGATGCCTGCGTAGTCTTTGACCGCGTGTGCAAACGAAATGTAGATCGCCCCCGCATCGGCCGGCGGGAGCCTCAGCGCCCGCAGCCGGTCATGGTGATGATGTAGGTCCGGCTTCTGAATCGGCCGTGAGGGATAATACATGGCTGCAATATCTTGAATAAAGGAATAATACGATCGCGTCGTCCGCCAGCCTTCGATCCGCGCCACCGACGCCATCAGCTCGCGTTGCTTGGACCCCTCGTCCGGCCACACATAACCGTGTCCACGGAGTGTTGTCGGATCGAGTGGATCCGCCTGAAGGCCGCTTGGACTTTCGGGCGAAAGCTCTTCGTTGGGTCCGATAACATAAAGATTGGATGCCCCATAGACTGTCTCCTCGAAGGCTGCAGCAACCCGGGTGAACTTGGCAATATAGGCGCGCCACTTCGCCCGGATGGCATTCTCGCCGTATCGGTTGGTGATGCTGCGCTGAACCTCCTCCATAAAGACATTGTCCCCACTGGGATCTGCATTGTTACTCGGCGGTGGGTGGTGGTGCATGGCGGCTTGTTGCTGGAAATACAAGAGTCCTTCGGTGACTGGGGCCGGCTCAATGTGGCTGCTGATCTTCATTCGGCCCGTGGGCAAATCGCAGAGTACATCCCACCATTCGGGATGGTTGGCAAAGGTGGGATTTGTGACGCCAGCAATGAAACCAGGGACCCTCAGCAGGTCATCGATCTTCGTCAAATCGGTGTACGGGAACGCGTGTCTGGTGAACCCGCGCAATATGCCGCCCGACGCAAGGGCGCACGCCGCCAACACTGCCTCTGCCACTTCGCCTGAAGGGCGATTATGCCCCAGGAATATCACTCGCTTCTGAGTCAGCATGGCGTTGACGAGGACAATGATCGGATGGGTAAAGGGCCCGCTCGTAGTGAGGTGGGGATGGATGGGAAACGGCTGTGGCGAGGCCGCATGCGGAGTAGAAAAGATCTGGATGAGCTTGATGAGGGAAAAATCGCCCACAACCTCCGGCCAAATGACCGTCGGCACCTTGACAGGAATAGGAATGTCGTTGTAGACGATCTTAGACTCAAACTCGTGGGTATCTCGGGGTAGCGTGTATCGAGGGGCGGCTGGCCTTTTCGGGGACGGGGGCTCTTCGTCAAAAGGCCCGCCATCTTCAACTTGTCGCTGGTGGATCATCTGCTCGAATTTCTCGATGAACATATCCTTACAGTTGCTTGCCTGCAATATCAGTCGTTCTAAAAGCGATAGCCTCGGCATTAACGACAGGTCCATGGCGTTCACGGCATTGTATAACGATGCGAGCGTCTCCGGGTAGGGGTTCTTGAAGTAATCCTCCAGGGCCAAGAGAAGTAAAGGCTGTCATGGCCGGTCAGCTCCATCACATGCGCTGTTCTTTTGGGTGAACCTACTTTATATATATGTAGGAAAGAATGTCGCGTACAAATCGCCATGGCTTTGACGACTGCACCACTGTGATTGTTCAGTATTGACCAGGCAGCCCGGAAACCATGGAAGGACATACCGTTTGACGGAAGTATCTTGCTTCGTATTTACAAGGTTGAGCACATACATCAAGGGTGGCCCCTCGCCACCCTCTTCTTCGTCGCTGCTCTCCTCTTCGGTTGACCCGCCTACATCTTCGCTGTCCCCGTCGCCGCTCTCCGCGTCCCCTATCCGGGACTTCTTTTTCTTCTTTTTCTTGCCAGTACTAGCGTCGTCGTCCTCGTCGGCATCTGCGCTTGTGTCCTTGTGCAAGAAGAAGATCGTCCAGTCCTGACTCCGAACGTGCGTCTGATCGGGAAGCATCAGCTCCGCTAGCATACTCTCGTCGCCACTGATTGCGGCGGGATACTGATGCTCCATGATCGGGCCGCGGTCGATGTGGAACGAGGCCACAAGGATGTACTCGACATGTCGCTCGGGCGAATCTCGGGGGTATTGCGATTTGCATCGTCGCGGTCTGGGGTAAAGAGTAGAGGGACCATGGCCCAGCGAGCGACGGCGCGCCGAGTTCCCCGAACTACTGGGGGTGCGCCGGTGGATGATGGAAGGGGAAGGGGATAGGCGGGGATGGCCATTGGCCTTGGAAGGATTGGTCGTGGCCGCAAGCGAGAGGGTGGAATCATCAGCAGGTCGGTAGGGTAGTGAGATGCTCATTTTCTGGCCGGGGAACAGGGGGTCGAGGTGGGCACGGGGGTCATTCAGATCGAGAGCGGATCGGGGGTGGCAAGTGATAGCTCCAGAGGACCGGCGAACAATGAGCACGAGGATAACGATAATAGCAGCATACTCGATCAATTATCCCAGTAGAAAACCGAGGCGACCTGACTCAGGCAACTGATACTGTTAGACTGTCAGTCATTGTCGGGGTTCGAGAGCCAGGGTGGACGGGGTGGGAAGTTCGTCGATCGGGGGATTAGTCGGGATAGACTCAGGGGAAAAAGAAAGGGGACGAGAGCCTCCAAAGCCCACGCACCGACGATGATCTCCACAGCGGGGAAAGGCGACGGGAGACAAACCAGCACCACCGACCGCCATGGCCTCAATGCACGCAGTTGGGGGAAGAGTGCAAGTAGATTGCAATGGGACGCAATGGGCACGGGGAAATTCTAGGCCATGAGATCTAGACCACAAGATAAAATACTTGCTTTTAGATCGATGATAATAATAGAGGAGGATACCAATAATCTGAGATGGAGTGATCGGATCTCTTTCTCCGTGCAGTTCGATTGAGGGAACTTCAGACTTGCAGAACTGCCGCTTCTTGCCTTTCTTGGGCCCCGCACGTGCCCCCTCCGTATCGGCCCGACTTGAACCCCCGAAGCCTTGTTGTTTGTTTGGCTGCCTTTCCCTTCTGGGAACTATGTAATGGATATCTCCATCCCCATTCTATCCTGCCATCTTCCCCTCTTGATCCCTCTTCGCTGTGGGTAATCTTCCTCCCCCAATCTGATAGGGAACAATCCTGTACAGTTGCATATCATCGTCATATTCATTTCCCACCATTGTTACTTCATCATGGTAAGTGCTCACTCTCCCATTCCCTCCTTCCGGACTCCGCTCACCGCCGTATCTCCAGGTCACCTCCAACGCCCCCTTCAGGCCATCGCCATTATCATTTGGCTCCCCTCGACCCTCCCCTTTTCGCCGTCCTTCTACACCCAACTCCCCTCCACAAGGCCGCTCCAGCACCCCTGGCAGTTCCCCCGGCCGCGGTTACACTCCAGTTCAGTCTCCGAGCAAACTCAAGGAATCATACACAGTCGAGGAAGATGACGGTTCATCACCCAAGAGCAAGCCCAGAAGTCCCATTGCACAGCCTCGGTTCACACGAGAGGCGCCCCCTTCGCCAACGAGGGGCGCCAATGCGCCGGATTCGTCGCCGTCGTTGATGGAAGCCAAAGCTACGAACATGATGGCGGCGTCATCTGACGCAGCAGCTAAACTACCCCCCGCACAACTGCGGGAAATCCGAGAGGCCTTCCAAGTCCTGGACCGAGATAACGATGGCTTAGTAGATAAGGACGACGTGGCGGATGTGCTTACGAACGTGGGTATGTAACGGAAGGCTAGCTAGTCGATCATTTTCGGGCGATGACACATGATACTGACGCAATGCTGCTCGACAGGCCAAGACCCGACTGCCCTTTCCAAGTTCTTCCCTCTAGGAGGTCCTCAAACCATGAATTTCCCCACCTTCCTCAATACCCTCTCACAGCTGCTCGCTCCTCTTTCTTCCCGCCAAGAGCTCATGAATGCCTTGGCGGCCTTTGACGAAGACGATAGCGGTCAGATCGACGTCGACGAGCTGCGCGATGCCCTCTTACACACAGCATCCGAGGATGGAGACCACCCTCTAAGCGACCGGGAGATCAATGAAGTGCTCAGTGGATTTACGGGGCGTCGAGCATTTGGCGGGAAAGGTGCTCGGGCGGCGGGCGGAGGGAAGAGGGGGGAGGTATTCCGATACCAGGACTTTGTCAGTGGGATCATGGGAGGGACGGAGAATGGATCGACGAATCGCCGCGACGCCTAGTAGATAGCCGCAACGGCGGAGTGGGAATTATTGCTTATAGTTCGGTAACGGCGTTCGGATGATGAGGGATACCGATAGTTAGAGAACCCGACTGGCTCTGGCAGCCATTGACCTGCAATTCTGGATCTGCGTAGGAGACGACAAACGACAACAACAACAACATGACTACTTGCTATATCGTAGATACCTTTCAGGGCAGCTCCATCTTCGGGAAGTTAAACATGACTGACAGCCAGGAACATGTCACGATGGAAATAAAGTTGACAGGGCGAGAATAAGACAAGACTCGTGGGCCCGCGAGGATTAAGGCCAGGAATTTCCCATGGCAACTGAGCTTTTTTTGCTCGCGTCGTCGCGTGTCCCCGCATTCCGTCCGTCGGCAAAAAAAAGCCCGCCATCAGATTGAAACTCTGAGAGGGAGAGAGAGAGAGACTAAAAGTTAGTGATGATCCCAAGCTGCAGCAGAACCCCCTAAGAATCCATTGGTTTCTTGCATCGTCCCGGCGTCGTTTCTTTTCTCCAACCATTCATTCTCCCCTCCCAATCCTATAACTACTCACTACTTTCACATGATATAAATTTCCCAGGATCCCTTTTTCTTTTTTTCTTTTTTTTTGTCTATCATTATTATTAGTCTTGTATTCATGGATCATCTTCCTGTCCCTCTTTGATCCGGTGTTTCAAGGGAAGATGGTTTTGTCTCTGCGCCAGACGCAGACCCCCAATCCTTGCTGATCCAATCGAGCGTCTGTCCGTCACACCTGCAGCAGAGCCCACTCTTCCTCTCCCTCCATCCCCAGCCCAGCATGGCGCCCTCCGAATCCTCTTCTTCTCCCTCGTCCTTCCATCCCACCCAGGCCCAGCTTAATCTCGCTGCTCTGGCTGGGTCACCTTCACCGCGGACCATGCGAGGCTTGCGCAAGATCCAGTCTCACCAAATCCTCTCATCTCACCCACCTTCCTCAGCTCATCCGCCGTCGGGGCGCTTGTCTGCTGGCGCCGGGGAGCTCGCCCAACCTCCTCAGCTGGACTCGCCCGTGCGACTGCGCTCGCAACGCCGGGCGCGCTCCAACAGCGATGCCTCGTCTCGGGAGGCCCCTGCGGTAGGAACTCAAAAGCGATCGGCCAGAAAGACAGGTTCTGGGTTTGGAGTCAAGCGCTCGGTCTTGGAGACTCTCCTCCGGGACGGTCCGCACCAGGGCAACCTTCAGGAGGGTCTCCAGGAGCTCCGGTACCTCGTTCTCTCGACACGAGTCGAAGCAGACGCGGATGGCATGGTATAATAGCCCGCCCCCCTCCCCTCGTGCTCATTCTGCCCCTCGTGGAATGAAGAGCAACACGTCCACTAACACTATCGCGACAGTCCACCTACCGAATCTACCTTTGGCTCGTCCTTCTCGATGTTTCTCCTGTTCCAACCGACGAATACCTCTCCCTCATCCACCGTGGTCGCTCGCCAGCCTACACGAAAATCCGCAATGATACATTCCGCACCATGGCCACAGACCCCCTATTCAAACGCCGCGTCACAGAAGCCAGCTTGATCCGGCTTCTCAACGCTGTCGCATGGAAACTTCACGACGCGAAGAACAAATACCGGTCGCGATCGCGTCCGTCGTCCCGTCTTCGAGAGATTGAGCTCTTAATCAACATCCCCCCGAGCATTGAAGAAGAACCCTCCCCATCCGGAACACCAGGTAGCGTTGCCAGCAGTCGCGGCGGCGGCAGCGGGATTACAAACGAATCTGCGATCTACGTCCAAGGCATGAACGTGCTCTGCGCTCCGTTCCTCTACGCCGCCCGCAGCGAAGTCGAGGCCTTTGCCCTGTTCCACTCGTTCATTACACGCGAATGTCCCGGTTACATCCGCGGCGCCATGGATGGGGTCCATCGAGGTCTGCGCTTGGTCGACCAATGTTTAGAGATCGTCGAGCCCAAATTAGCGGCGTACCTCTTCTCCAAGGGCCTACAGGCGAAATTGTATGCATTTCCGTCAGTGTTGACCCTCTGCGCGTGTACGCCTCCTCTTCCGGAGGTGCTTCACCTTTGGGACTTTTTGTTCGCATACGGAACGCACCTGAATATCTTGTGTATTGTGGCGCAATTGATTCGAATGAGGGACACGATCCTGGAAAGTCCGAAGTATGTTTACTTTTTGTTTTCTCTTACATTTTTCCTTTGCCTTCACCCTTTCCTACCCCGGTTCATTCCCCCTTTTCATGTTTTCTTTTTTTCTCGTCCGCCTCAACCTCTCGAAAAAGCAATACCATACCACCCAAAAACAAAACAAAAGACGGGGGAAAAACAAGACAAATCACATCCCCACAGAGCACAGCCCCGACACACAAGTCCCTCTGAGAGAATAATTCTCCTGAGCATGATATGATACCCCCCAAACCCAAAACAAAGCCCGCAGCAGATATCCCAGAGACATTGTGATGTGAGGTAACAGCGCTAACGTGATCCATCCACAGCCCCAACAAAATCCTCCGATCCTTCCCACCACTCGACGCCAAAGAGATCATCGCCCTGACGGTCCTGATCGTCCGCAAGATCCCCGAGCCGCTGTACGCTGAATTAATCGACCATGCCAAATGATGATGGCATCACGTTTCTTTCCTTTCCCTGTTTTCCAGCTAGCTAGCTAGCCAGCCAGCCAGAGAGCCCAGCTACGGCTTCAGCTACAGCCAGCCAGCCAGCCAGCCAGCTAGCTAGCCAGCTAGCTAGCCACGAAAACCAACCCTAAGCACCTACCACCTACTACCACCATCTAACCCACCAAATTCGCCACCTACCACTCGGATCCAGACCCAGACTCCGACCCAAAACAATATTCCGCATTGGGACTAATGTGTCCGTCCCGTCCGGCCGTCCGTCTCTCCGTCCCACCACTACTACCTGCCTACTTATATTAACGCCTCTTACTTTACCCTTCTCACTTTCTCACGTACGCGCGCCGGATCTAACGATGACCTAATTGAGACGTCTCGTACTTACCCTTTTTGTACTTGTATTTTACTTTTCTTTTTCTTTTCCCCTTTTCGTCTTTTTTTTTTTTGAACAGTTTCTGGCGTTATGATAACTAACCGACTAACCTAACCTACTGACTACCATTACTGTATGTATTATTGATTGTTATGAGAGCATGATATCATTGATGGAACTGACTGAGATATGAGGAAAAGATGGAAAAAGCAGAAAAAGGAAAAAGAAAGAAAGCATATAGGAACAGTGATTGATTGATGGAGATGAGGGGATGTATTCTAGATGGAGATGTTGATTTTTTTGATTGATTGATTGATTGATTGATTGATTGATTGATTGACCATGTTATTTAAAGGCTAACTAACTGACTACCGGTCGGGTTGGTCAGATAGATGAGATGAGATGCGATGACTCATGAGTGAAATGATGAAATTGATTGAATGGATCATGCTATTTGCAGACAGATTTCGATTGCTTTGAATTGATAGAATAAGGATACACTACTAGAACATGACTTCTAACCAACCAACCAATCATTCTATCTATGTTATGTATGTAATCACCGTTTGAACGCCCCGAGACGCCGTAAATCCCACTCTGGCAGTCATTGGACACCTTGCACATAAGTAGAGATATAAGAATAAAAAAATCATGCACATGTAACTATGATCACATCCAATTCCAGAGCACATCAAACATAGACTGAATCAACCCCATGATCCCGTTCTATCCCGTCCTTACCCTCTGCAGTAAACAATGATGATGATGATGATAAGATATCTGTTTATCGACTATTACTATAGGCCGGCCAGTCAATACTTCCGTCAGAAGTAGTGATGGAATGTGTGCGGCTAAGTAGCCACTGCCTTGATTCCCGTGTTGGACCCATTGACGACTAGAGGTCCACAGTGGTCGCCCGATTTAGACGATGTTGACGTCGATGAAGACAGCGATGATGACCTCGGGCTGTTGCCAGCACCATATGGTCCTTGGTTCCTTGCGACCGGACTGTTCGCGTTAGCTGATGGTGCCGAACCGGCATGTCTCTCGCGGGTCAGGCTGTACGCGAGATGGAGACTCCGGTCGATCTTGACGCGAATCTTCGCGTCCATAAAGTTGATGCCGTTGTACTGCGCTACAACACGCTTGGCTTCATCTGCTGTGCGTAGGGTTACCCGTGCGAAGCCTTTACAGCGGCCGGTGTCGGGATCCGTGGACACCTCGGATTGCTCCACTGTGGCGCCACTTTCTTCTATGAAGGCGCGAAGGAGCTTGTCGGTTGTGGTGGGACTGAGATTCTGCACGAATATAGTTCGTCGTGGGGAAGAACGGGGACCTGGGCCCCCGGAATGGTAGATCTGCGGCGCGAACGCCGGATTGTAGCCGTAGGAAGCTTTGCCGGACATGTGGGCCCGACGTCCGGGTAGACTAAAACCGCCATGTGCTGGGGTATCAGGAAACGGCGGCATGGTCGGAAAAGGATATGCGGGGAAGACGGGAATAGCAAAAGCGTCGCCGAAGGAGTGGCGGAGAGGAGCGGGCGACGGCGGGATGCCTGATATGGGCTGTTGTGTGACTGGGTCTGTGGGGAAAGGCATGAAAGGCTGTTGAGGCATTGCTAGGGGATTGACCATGGGGCCGTAATCAGTGGCTGGATATGTCGGGCAGCTAGGACTGGCAGACAAGTTGGGTCTATGAGTTGTCAGTTGTCACCTGAGGAAGAAGGGGAGTCACTTCCTGTACTCACTCGGGGGAAATGGGAGACGGAGGCACTGCCATGTTTTGTGTTGATCGTGGCGGAGTTGAGTAGCCTGGTACATAGTTGGGCGGAATTACGCAGGTTGGACTCTTCGTGGGCCCAGCAATGGGTCGTGTAGGTGAGCTGGTTCGTGCTAATGTGACAACAAGGCTCTGGCCTTCCCAGCCGTTGGTAGAAAGCCTATCTAGAAGCACCCTGTCAGCTAATTTCTAACCATCTGAGTTCCATTACGCACGGTAGGTCCGCCATGCCTCATCTTCGTTCTTCACGATGATCTGGCCAAGGCCGGTTGGGAATCCATGCTGGTCATCGTAGACCACTGCTTGACGGATATGTAAGGCTGTCTGGCGGACTAGGTCCTTGAGCTCTTGCCAGCGACAGTGCGCCGGTATCTGCACCCATGGTTAGACAAGGCCGCGTGTATGAGATGTACCACGTGCGAGACATACCCCCTGGAGGAATAGAACAAATTCCTCTTCTGACCTTCCAGATTTCGCCATCCGCCCCTTCTCGCGTGGAGGAAAAGGCATGATAATGTGGTATAGTAGGGTTCGATATGTCAGATCCCCTGAGATTTCGGAGAATGAATGAAGAGGAGGTGGACCCCGTGAGTTTAAAAGCCTGTGATCTTCTATCAAACGGACTAGTTCCGAGGCCTTTAAGCTTCAATGCGCAGGATAGACGGGGTTAGCAGGGGGTGTAGTGACCTAGAAGCTAGAATATAAGTATCGGGGTTTGGTCTGACGGTCTCACACCCGGGTATGACCAATGATGCCCAAGGGGACTATGCTTACTGATTCGTCCTTGACGACCCCGATCGCTAATCAGACAATCACGTACTGTTTGAAGAAAAGAAGCTGATCCACAGGAAAAATAAGAGATCGAAAACCAGTGCTTCGTGGGTTTTATGTCAAGACAGGAAGACAAGCGCCCGGGTTGATCGACCTCCTACATCGAAAGAGGCCCACCGATGGCGAAAAGTGTTGAGGCCGGTGCTGAAGGAGCAGCAGCAGCAACCGCGGCAGGTAGAGTAAGGAGGGCCAGAATAAGAATAGCAAAGGCAGTAAGAATGTCCGAGGAAATGGAAACAGAGAGGACAGTAGGACCCGTGAGGATAAGATTAGTGGAACGAGGCCAGAAAGCAGAGTGAAAATAGACGAAAGCCACCGATGCATCCGCTGACGAATTAAAAGGGGGCGCAGTTGGTGCTGGAGAGCTTGCGAGGGAAATCCGGGCCTGATGCCTGGAGAAGACTGGGATGGGTCAACTTGGACGAGCTGGCAAAGGCAGATGGGGAGGAGAAGGTGGTAGTGATCGCAGTTGAGGAATCGAGGAAGGACGGGGCCCAAGCAGGCTGATGATGATATGTCATGCATGATCAACAGTGATGGATAAGAAAAGATGGAGACTCACTATTGAGCTTGAGTGGCCGAAGAAGAAGTGATGGAGCCAGAAAAAAAACAAGATGAGAAAAAAGGAAGTAAATTACTAACTAGTTGGATGAATTGAATGAAGGAGGAGATGGGGTGGAAAGAAATGAAGAGAAAAAGAAAAGAAAAAAGTAAATATAGTTAGTTGGTTACTTAGTATGATGGCTGACTGACTTGCTGGGCATAAACTAAAAATCAGACATTCAGTCAGCCAGTCTGTCAATCAGAGCCAGTAAATATAAGATAAATTGAGAGATTTCTATTTGTAGTTACTGTAATAATAATTTCCACAGTAGTACTGCGTGAGGTTGAACTAACTAGCAGCCAATACGCCTCATGTAGCACCAGGAAAAAGTACTGTCAGAGACTAGAGAAGCAGTGAGAGAGAGACACAGAGGAAGTATATCCTTGATTTAATCCTGCAATGATTGGTGAAGATCGGAAAGTAAATGACGATGAGAATAGGGACAAAGTCTCAACAAACCAACCCAACATCATCGATCCAGCTTTTCATTCAATGGCACTCACTCTTCAACACCAACTTCAATAACCTCCAAAGGCCCATAACTCATCCCTCCTCTTTTCTCTTCATCCGCGCCCTCATTCCAATACACTCGAGTACGTCACGCTTGGCGGACAGGGTTACACCGCCAGATCTCAGGGCAGCCACAACAACAACTAAGTCCCTGTCCTGTTCTGGCGTCAAAGAAGTCAAATAAATTAGATTCGAATAAGAAAAAAAAAATAAATTAACACAAATGCATTGACTAGAGAATATACCAATTGCTGATGGGAAATAAAAAGAGTTGATGGTGGACCATCCGCCCTGCATCGCCCTGAAATGCAAATGGCATTGTCATCACCATCATCATCATCCTCCTCTTCTTCGGTCAGCCCTGCAGTAGCCTGGAATATTGCCCCTCAAAGAAGGGCAACCAACCAAAGTAAGAAGAGATCGAGTATTTTACCACACAGCTGATGCGATAAGAAGAAAGGTGTTTCTTTTTTTTTTTCTTTTTGTTCTGTTTCCTTCTCACCCCTTGGGTCACCTTCACCATATTAAGAAAGCTGCACTGCAAACAAAAATAGAATAGCCTCAGCCCTGAAATGGGGGTGGTGGAGTTACACAGTCGGACTTGTCTCATGTCTGATCGTGAAAGACTGCAGCATCTTCACCCGGGCTTGACCTCTAACCCCCTCTCTCCCCTCTCTCATTCGGTCTCTCATTGCTGCACTAGTAGGTCGGATTAATTGTCTCGTCTCAGCCCATATCCCCACAGGTAGTCATCCAGGATTGCATCGCAGCAGAATTCACAACGCATTGAAATGAATTGCAGAAAAAGCAGACCAGCCAGAATACCCAAGCAAGCGAGCTTCACAAGCAGCCTATTGAACACTTGCGTCTCCCCAGTCGGTTTTAGCCTTGCCCCTTGATTCAGTTCTTGGACCACCCCGATTCGGCCGGGAAGATCCTTGAAGCAGCCTGCATATGAGGTATCCATTCCAACGACAGTCCGTCAGTCATCGCCTAAGTAGGTCCGCCGTCTTGCCGCCCGGGAGTACCTGTCCACTCCATGCATCGAAACCTTGCCACTCAGGTCACCGCCGGTGCTGAGCGATACATCCAAAAGAATGTCACACGGCAGCTGGCCGTATATGGTTAAAAAAGTGTAGTCACCGGGAAGCGTTGGACGGGAGACATCCAACCAACGCCCGGGCAGCAGGCGTCAGGCTCCCGTAACCGCTGCGACCAATGCGGTTTGGTCTAGTGAGACCAGGAGCAATAGGATGAGGAGGGCTGAAAGTGAATGGGGATGTCATCGTATCCCTCTTACGGGAACCTACAGTTGGAAAAAAGAATAAAATAAAAGAGAAAGTTATCAGGAAAGCCACTCTAAAGCCAGGCACTGGATTAAACTGCCGAGATAAGCCGCTGCAATCCGAGTCTAATCTGTCCGATTCAAGTAGGGGTGGTTGTCTGCTTCAGGCGCCTGAGATCTCGCCTGTGTGTTTGTTTTGTCCATTTGATTGAGCCCAAATGAGTCACAATCACAGCAGCAGATCGCAGACTATCTAGCTACCTTCCCCCGGAAACTCCGCTAAAATTCGATAGTCGGACGATCGACCCATACAACACCGTAGACTTTAGTTGGGTGATTACTATTAGGCACGCCCTCGCCCTCGCCCTCCGCCCACGGGCCCGCGGCTCTGGTAGGATCTCCCACTAGCAACTAAGTATTCGTTGGAAGACTCCATACCCAACCAGGCGAACAATCTAGAAGGGATCGAGGATTTCACGACCCATCGGGGTCCCGCGGGCCTTAAACTTGAAGCTAGAAGATGCTATCCATCGTGGCTGGCTCCAGATCTGTTTCCCTCTCTCTCCACTTGGGATGGGACTATCTTAAACCCTTCCATATTCCCGATCAGGGAATACGCTGGAGGTTCCGGGTGGATTACTTACTTGTCGCGGTCGCGTGGACAACTAAGCTTTGATCGTGTCACTGCCGTACGAGGAGGTTAAAATATCCTGTCCCTCCGTGCCTGGTCCCGTCTACCGATTACATACATGAGCAGCACAGTAGTCCGCGGACTATTGAACACTACGACCTATTCCATGTCTCAGTGGAACCTCAACGATGTGAAGATGGATCTCCTGTGATCGTAGCTACGGGGTGTAATCGGTGTTCTGCCGTGGACCGAAAAGTCAGATTGCTCGGTTTCTTTGGATCGTGACGTTGCTTTGATACTGAATCTCGAAGTCATGACTTACCTTCCTGACTGAGACAGGCCGAATTGGGAGATCCGTCGATCGCCCTCGATTCCTCAGGACACAACTCGCTAGACCCGACAACTACCATGGAACGAAGCTATGAAGAACGAGCTCTACCTGTCACATGCAATGGAACTTAGCAGCCGCCGACTGGCTCGCAATTGGCAATAATGCCCTTCCTGTCACTAACGAGGCTCGGTCGGGGATTATCTGACATTTCCGCTGACACGGTGACCATGGGATAAATCGTCTGCCGACCATGACACCGGGCAGACCGTTCTGCAATATTCGAGGTTTTATACGGTACCACGCACATATGCGCGCACATGATACTCTTACACTTGGTGACACCATCAAGTTGATTATTATCTGAGTCTCCAGCGCACAGCCACCGAGTTACAGTAAGCCAATCCTGAGGCTTTCCCCCCTCCCCTCATTGCCTGCCCCCCCTTCTGCCCTTTGGGCGGTTTCTCCCCATCTCCCAGTGCTAACCCCGATAGCACCATAGCACAGTGGACCCCGAGCAGAAAGTAGACGAGACGATGAAACGAGGCCAAACCCACGACTGAATTGAGCCACGGCCCACTGATCAGCGACACCCACCATTGCCGACACCACAAAAGGGGTCGGTCAAGCAATCTTTCGGGTGTGGCTTGAAGGGCCGCCCGTCACAACCTCCAATAGGTAATCCAGCGTGAATTTCTCTCTTTGCTATCTGAGTCTGCAAAAAGCAAAAGCTAGTCTAATGTGAGTGATCTCCGCGTCCCAGACGGCTGAATTGCTGTCCCTGACTCGCTCGGGGTTCGAATCGGGCTCTGAATTTCTGATACACACAAGCGTGACAAGACACCTGCCATCGATCCGATCACGGCATCTCTCCTCATGCGGGGCGACGCCAGTGTACTTACTTGCTCACACTTACGTGTCCGTGTTACAGGCAACCAGGCTAATGTCCCATAACTGTAAGGGGGAAGAGGGGTGGGCAAAGGGAAGTGGAAAAGATGGAGGGGTAAAAGGTCCGTGAACGGACCTCTCCCCCCTCCCATGTATACGGACTTTACCGTCGTTGTTTGCTTGGTTGTCGTCACGCTCAAAAGTCGGGGGGGAAGAATGGAATGGAGCAGAGAGAGGAGAAAGAGAAGGGGGGGGTTTTGGTTCCCCCCCCCTCCTTGGCGCCAAAATACGGAGAAAATCCCAGGAATTACGGGGTTTGGGCATTACACGAACTACGGGGTAGACACCATCTCCAACCATTAAACCACCACCTACTGACAATTGCAGTTAGTAGGGACTCAGTATCTACATGCTACTAACCCAACAGGGAGTACGCTCAGTACTCACATTTTGGACTCCGCTTAACGCTAGTCAGAGCTAGCTTGAGAACCGGTGCGCTTTTAGTCTCTTAGTTCTTTTGCCCAGCGTTTAGACCAGATTACCAGTAATAGCAGCAGCAGGGGCAGAAGGGAAAAAAAAAAATCAAGTAAAAGAGAGAAAGAGAAAGAGAAAATAAGACTATGCTGTCCATTCACCATAGTAACCCTCCAAACCGTATGAAAAATTTGAAAACCAAAGAAAGTAACACTACCAAAACCACTCAACTCTTAGTGGATAGTAGTAGAAGATAACTAGTAATACCTGAAACACAAACCACCAAACATTCCGAACAGCGGGATCATCCCGCTTCCTATCTATCTATTCTTCCTCAGCCCCGGCCATACGGCGCGTGGCTTGAGCACCAGCACCAGCACCAGCACAGCACAACACAACACACTAAATCCCAATTAGTCCACTTTTTCCTTCAGTAAGAAGCAACTAACTAAATAAGTAATATGTCGTATCTTAGTATCTAAAAGGAACTAAGTACTCTACCTGGCTCCTGCAATCCTAGCCGATGATCCCATCCCTGCCCGTCTGCCCGCCCGTCTCTCTGTTTCTCTGTTTCTCTCCCTATCTTTCTTCCGGGGTTTAGGCTCTCGGGATTTACATTACGATTGGCACGGCGCATGGATTATGTGCGTATGTATGTATGTATGTTTGTCACAGGAGGATGGTACGTATTTGTTGCATGCTGGGAAGGGGTGAAATTGGAATAGTAATTTAAAATCTGGGGATTAATTGCATCATTGTGCTTGAGTATCTGTCATTCTTGCATGCCGGATGGGTTTCGGGTGAGGAAGGGGTTTTACTGTAGGGAGATAGATGGGAGATTTGATTGATTAGGTGCTTGCTACTTTTCTTGCAGGTGTCTTGTAGGTACTACTGTATTGGGTAGGGAGGTTGTGGTGTGGTAGATAAGATGAGGTGGGAGATTTCGCTAATATAACTAGATCTGTGCATGGTATTGCAGAGATTGAGGAGTTGGGAGTAACAAAGACATGGTGTGGTGTATGTAGATCATTTGTGTCGTCTTTCACACAAATCGAACCCAAACGGTAAACAAATAAATCCCCTCCCAGATAACAAATCAAGATAAAGCAAGTGCAGGGTATCATAGTAGGCTAGGCTAAGGTAGCAAGCAAGTAATTCTTTCAAATGAATTTCACAAAACAGTAATGATATCTCCAATTTCAACAGTAGAAAATTCCTCGGTGCGGTATGGTGCGAGTGGCGGGGATGGAAGGAATTGGATGATCATCATTGAGCGGAGCGCTATTCGCATGGAGAGTGGGACTCTGCTCAACGAGATGATCATCATCATCAGCCCTCGCCCCTCGCCCCTCCCCCCTGCCTGGTCGGTGACACCGCCACGCGGCCCCGCGCCAATACACGTCCCAATTCCACATGTTGAATTTAATATTCGCGTAATGTAGGGCGCGTTGCGGGGTTGGGGGGTAAGGAGGTTCGATCGTTGCAGTCGCTGGTTTGTATGTTTGCTTTGCGACGGCATATGTGTTGCGCCAATTTGCGAAATAATCGGCAGGGCACCGAGGAACACAACCAGGTTCAATAGCTAGTATCCATATGGGGGAAACGGGTGACGCAGGATTACAGGAGCAACATGCGCAAACCCTCACTCAATCAAACACAACAAAGAATCAACAATCTGTGCCAGCACAGTAACATTGGTCCCGAGTAATGCATTATTGGGTTGAGTAAACGGCGAGGCGAAGAAAAGGTGCAGAACCAGCGTTTGTCACGTCAAAAGTCGGCTTTGGTTTTTCGCTCCCCCTCGCCCGTTGCGGAATCCCACCATCGAGCTGAAACCGGGGTCGAGCGGACGAGAAATTTGTGTCACTTTGTCGGTGGTGGCAGTGATAGTGGTGTAGTTCCTTCTCTCGTTCCCTTGACTTCGTGAAGAAATGTGGGTCGGTTGGCTAGTTCGATTTGAGGGCTTCAGCGGATGAAGCCGACCATGGATGCGCAGCGACTGCAATAGTAGGAATTCATGCCGAAACGAACCACGCCGGGAGAGGATTCGTTTTCGAGACTCATAGATCGTTGACAGCGAGAGCAGCGCACAATGTCGAAATTCATGGAGCCGGGGGTCGAGCCTGTCGGGGAAGTGACCCCCTTTGTGGCGCCGGAAGGTTGCGGTTGAACTTGCACCGAGGAAGAGCTCATCTTCTCCTTTCCGCTCCGGTTGAGGGTTCGAAAGAAAAAAAGATGAGCTTTGTAGTTGCCAGTGAAGTTGAGCGCAATTTCGATATCCAAAGTTCTGCAATATGGGGGACCGTAAAAAGGTCGAAAATGGTTTTGGAGAATTGGGGGGGTGGAGGGGAGGATGAGTGGTTATTTAGGCACGTTCAACTGGGTGGCGGAGTCGATTAGATTGTCTTGGGAAAACACGGGAATACAACGGCGATAGCGTTGTATGGTTCTGACAGTGCCCGGGTAGCTTTGGTAGCTTAGTAGGCAGCAGAGATTGACCACGTGTGAAAGGAACAACAAGAAGGAGGAAGGATAAGTTCCAGACGACCGTGAAATAATAGGCAGAAGAGTTAAAAAGGAGTGACCGGAGAATCGAGCTGGGTTGGGAAGTAGTGACTGAAAGGTATCTATACTACCAGAGCCCAGCGCCAAGCGAAGTGCTCAGGGTCAGATCGATCCACTTTTTTCCGCGCCTGTTTTGCACCGGCCTTGAGCTAGTTGGGTAAAATAATAGTCCTTTATATTATTTTCTGACGAGGCACAGGGGAAAGGAGGAGGCGGCGTTTGGCGGAGGGCGAAAAAAAAATAAAGATGGATTAATCGGAAATCAGAATAA